TTTATTATGTTAATCACCATACATTACATCATTAGTTTTTGATGTAGTGTTCCATGATTCATTGTTTGTGTATAACACCCAGTGCTCCATTCAGTGCATGCCCTCTTTAATACCCATCACCAGGCTAACCCATTCCCCCTACCCCCCCCAATCTCCAGAAGTTTTAATGGCAAAATACATGTATTTAGGTCTATAACCAGCCTTTTTAAGTAAGAGCTTAAAAGGACATGACAGTTTTATTTTTATTTATTTATTTTGACCCTAACTAGATTTTATTCGTCATGATCTAAAGGAAAGAAATTACATTGATCTGGCAATCTTTTTGTTGAGAATACATTTATAAAGTTCTGTTGTGCATAAGGACATGTCAGTTTAAATTATTTTGTTCACTGCCCAAGAGTCACATAGAGGAGTACACTTTCCGCATAGTTGTACTTTTTTTACTCTCTTCCACCAAATAACTGTTCGGTATTTAATGGGCCTTGTTTCCTTAGCTGCTCTGGAACTGCCCCATGAGTTGCCCAGCAGCTTCCCGTTTGAGAAGCACACAGCTGTGGCTTCCCCAAATGGCCTTTCTTTGAAAAGTTTTTGAGATGATGGAAGAAAAGTTGCTATAGTTGTCACAAAGTTGAAAGTGGAAATGGGAGGTTTACCATTTTAGGCCTCATTTCAAGAACAGTCAAGACTAGAAATGACCTCAGGTAGACAGCTCTTGAGGCGAGGCTCGCTGAGGAAGGTAGCCGTGTCAGAAGTTTGGATCTCCTCCTTGGGGAGGAGATCCCAGTAGCGGGCTGTTAAGTGTTCAGGGAGGAAAAGAGGCTGGTCAAAGTGCCTCTATATCTTGAACATTTTTAGAAAGAGATAGATAGGAGCTTTTGACTTCTTTCTTCAGTCTCTCTAGATTTCTTTTTCCCTTCTTTGTCTTTAACGTTAGTTTCTCCCTGTACCTTCCTGTGCCTCTGTTACTGGGCTCTTTTTGGTAACATTATTTTGTGTCTTCCATTCCACTCCTCATCCCTTCGAAGGTCTAAGGAAAAAAAACTTGTCCCCTGGTGCCGTGGAGTCCGATGTGCGAGGAATAACTGGGGTTGATCTGTTTGGAACGACAGATGCGGTGGTGAAGCACGTGCTGGAGGTACTTATCTTCACAGCCAGCGGCTCATCTGGGCTCTTGTCCGGGAGGCGGGGACAGGACGCCGCTCGTTTGTTCATTCCTGCAACAAAGATTTGTGCAGTGCTTATTAAATGCTGGGCATTGTTTGGAGACACTGGAAACAGAATAGTCCATGAGCCAGGACAAATGAGGCTTCTGTGCCACCTAGGGGAGAGTCACATTACCTCCTAAACCCAGTGGGGAGAGAGGGAGAAGGCTGGTATAAGCTCTTTCACGATCCCAAAGCAGAGTCCCGTTCGCACACCTCTTGTGAGAGTTGGGATTGGGGGGGGTTGTGATTTAATCGGAGTTATTAAGGACCAGCCATGTGTGAGTAATTTGTGTGCGTGGTGAAAAAATAGAAAAGCATTAGAGAAAGAAACTAGATTTTTAAGAATATCTAATTTAATCCTTACAGCTATCCTCTGAGGTAGATATTAGTAACCTGATTTTACAGATGAAAAAAATTGAGACTTAGAGAAATTGAGCAGTTTACCAAAATCCACATGTATCTTGTAATCGAAAGAACTAGGATTTGAACTTGGATCGGACTCCAAAACCCAAGGGATTTTCGCCACACATGAAGTCTCTCTATAGTGGTACTGAGTACAACTGTATAAATAAAGTACAAGATATCTTAAAATTAGCAGTTCTTAAACTTTGTGTTCTGAGAACCTCTTTATACCCTTAAGACTTACTGAGGACCCCAAAGAGTTCTTGTTTATGTGGTTTATATCTTTCAGTTTTTACCGTATCTGAAATTAAAACTACAGACTTTTTAAAACATAAAATATATAAGCACACATTCTGTTAGCCATCAGAGCAATGACGTCATGTCACGTAGCTGCTGGAAAACTTTATCCTCAGGAGAGAATGAAAGTGAAAAAGGCAAATAATGCCTTAACATTATTAGGAAAATAGTTTTGACCTCACAGATTTCCTAAGGGAGTATTGGGACTCATCCGAGAGTTTCCCAACATTTCCTCATTAAGTTGTAAAATTGGTTTTTATTCTTGTGATGTTAATAATTAGTTGGGGAAATAATATATAAGTAGACAATAAAACAAGGCAGTGTATCCCAAATGCAAATGACGCTGAATTTGGGAGTAGAAAGATTTGGGAATTGGCATGAGAACTTGGGTGTAATATTGGGTGGGTTGACATGGTAACTCTCATGTTCATATCTTAGAATAGCATAATCCCTTGACTCTTCACAGGAAGAGTAAAAATCAGAGACATTTTCAATAACCACCAGCGTGGCTCTTTAGTTTGCTTTTAGTAATAGTTATAAAGCCATTTTAGAAGAACCACTTCTTTTTTTCCACAGGGTCATGATCGTGGCGTAAACTGGGCTGCCTTCCACCCCACTATGCCCCTTATTGTATCTGGGGCAGATGACCGTCAAGTGAAGATCTGGCGCATGAATGGTGAGTAGACCAGGGACGGTCACTGTGTCTAAAAAACGGACTGCTGGCCAGCCAGGTGAAGCAGCCAGGTCTGCTGGCCTTAGTGACCCATTTTCCTACCTTAGGTTCTTACGCTAATCCTAGGAGCATAAAAATTGCCCCGTTCTCTTTTTTCCTGTTTTTGAGGCATCCTGATTTTGAGAATTCTGAACACAGTTAAGAATAAACATTCATTCAAAAACATTTACTGGGTACCTGCTTTGTACTAATCATTGTTCAAGGCTCTGGAGATATGATGGTGACTAAAACATATGGAGCTTACATTTATTCTGTCTTGACACCTAGTGACAAAACAGGGTAAGAGGATAAAGAATGATGGAGAAGAGGTGCTGCCATTGATAGGTGGGTCCGAGTGAAAGAACAAAGAAACATATAGAGATTCAGAGGCTTAAATGAAAAAATTGCCTTGTTAGAAGTTGCTTATGTAGGGGCGCCTGGGTGGCTCAGTTGTTGAGTGTCTGCCTTCGGCTCAGGTCATGATCCTGGGGTCCTGGGATCGAGCCCTGCGTCGGGCTCCCTGCTCAGCCGGGAGCCTGCTTCTCCCTCTTCTGCTTCCCCTGCTTGTGTTCCCTCTCTAGCTGTCTCTCTCTCTGTCAAATAAATAAAATCTTGGGCGCCTGGGTGGCTCAGTTGGTTAAGCGACTGCCTTCGGCTCAGGTCATGATCCTGGAGTCCCTGGATTGAGTCCCGCATCGGGCTCCCTGCTCAGCAGGGAGCCTGCTTCTCTCTCTGACCCTCCCCCCTCTCATGTGCTCTCTCTCTCTCATTCTCTCTGTCTCAAATAAATAAATAAGATCTTTAAAAATAAATAAATAAATAAAATCTTAAAAAAAAAAAAAGTTGCTTCTGTAGCATTTTGGAGTAGCACCTAGCATTTCGTTGGAGATGCCGTAATTTTAAATCCTGAACTTGTAGTAGTAGTAGAGAGTTGTGATCTAATTCTTTTTGGTCCTTCAGAGTCAAAGGCATGGGAGGTTGACACCTGCCGTGGTCATTACAACAACGTGTCTTGTGCTGTCTTCCACCCTCGCCAAGAGCTGATCCTTAGCAATTCTGAGGACAAGAGTATCCGAGTCTGGGATATGTCCAAGCGGTAAGAGGGTTATGGTGGTGTGTGACCCAAGCCAGGGGAAAGCCCCTCCTCTCTCATTCTCTCCTAAAAGTTAGATTAGACTGCTTCTGTGTGTCTCTCCATCTTCAGCATATGGAGAAGTCAGATCTGATGTTATGAAAACCTCAAGGGGCCTAGAGATCACCCAGCATTTACAGATCTCCCATCAATGCAACTTCCATGTGCATTTTTTTCTCCTCCAAATTTAAGCATGTTCTTCGGTAGTTAGGAAAATAAGAAATAGGGAATGAAGGTAGTATAACAGGAAATCATGATGAATAAGGGGAGATTGAAATACCCAAATATTAGGGTCAGAGTATATGCAATTTGCTGTCCCTGATTTAATCTTTCATCAGTGTGCTGGCTTACACTCAGTGTTCAGTGCTGTTGTATGTGATAGACTGAGGATTACTCTGAAATTAATGTTTTCCTTTGTGTACCTTTTGCTTTCCTAGGACTGGGGTTCAGACCTTCCGCAGGGACCACGATCGTTTCTGGGTCCTAGCTGCCCACCCCAATCTGAACCTCTTTGCAGCAGGTAAGGGCCATTTCTTCTCTTTTTCTCTTGTTTAAGTTCAAAGTTTGTAAGGTATGAGAGTGATTCTCCATTAGCTTTCTCTCCAGTTGATGCATAGCAGGGTGGTGGGGAGAAATAGGGTTCTTAGAGCCGGGCGGTTGAAGCTTCTCTCCTTTGCTCTCCCTCACCTTCCTGGAGAACCAGTTGTTCAGTGTTTGTTCTCCACCCAGATCCATTTGACAAGAAAACCCCTTCCCTTTGATTCGTTAGGAAGCTGATAGTGGGCACTCAGGGTTCTCAGACAGAGGAGCTGAGGAGCTCGAGGCTGAGTTTCTGTCATCCATTTAGCAGATACATGCTGCACCTCAGGCCCTAGTCTGGGTGCTGCTGTGAGAGCAGTGCCTCAAGCAGTGTCCCCGACCCTGTGGAACTCTTATGTGTAGTGAGTGGGAGAGACAGTAAAACAATAAGTATGTAAAATAACATGTGGAAGATGCATTGAAGAAAAGGGGCGTGGGGAGGGACACGTGGGCCCTGCTGCTTCATGGTGGGTCTTGAGGACAGTGAGGGATGATACACACAATGCTGGCAGTGCTCTGAGAGGTGCTGGGCACGTGTGAGCGGCATCGGAGGCCAGGAGGGGCACAGCGAGTAGGGGTGGAGTCGAGGGAGGGAAGAGCAGGCCCGGCTGTGCTCCACCTTGCAGGCCAGGGTTAGAGTCCAGATTTTACTCTGAATGGGTGGAGAGCCATTGGAAAGTGCTGGGTAGGCAAGTGAATGATCGGGTTTTTGTGTGGAGAGCTGACCAGGAGGACAAAGGTTGGAGGTTTCTCTGAGAGATGGTTGATGCTAGTAGGGAAGAAGCAAAACATTTTTTAAAACAACTGGAAAGGCTTTTTAAACTAGCATCCCTGTTTAGCAAAACCTCTTATGCTCTTGCTATATGCTAGGGACGGGGGAAGGACGGAAATGATTGTAATTTCTGTCTTCAGGGAGCTTGTGGTATAGCGTAGCTGGTGGCCTTAAATAGTTACAGTGCAGGCCGTTAAGTGCTGTACTGGAGGGTTTAGCAGAGTGGACATACTGTATCCTGTTAGTTTCAGGTGAACATCATAGTGATTCGATCTTTTTGTGTATTACAAGATAATCCCCATGATTAAGTCCAGTTACCATCTGTCACCACATAAAGTTATTATAACATCATTGACTATATTCCTTATGCTGTACATTACAGCCCCATGACTTATTTGTTCTGTAACTGGGTATTTATATCTCTTAATCTCCTTTACCTATTTTGATCACTCTCCACCACCTCCAACCTCTGCTAACTACCAATTTGTTCTCTATATCTGTGGTCTGTTTCCATTGTGGTGGTGGTCATTTTTGTTTCTTTTGTTTTGTTTTTTAGATTCCACATATAAGTGAACTCTTACAGTATTTGTCATTCTGTCTGACTTACTTCATTTAGCGTAATTCTTCTAAGTCCATTTATGTTGTAAATGGCAAGAGTCCATTCTTTTTTATGGCTGAGTACTATGCCACTGTGTGTGTGTGTGTGTGTGTGTGTGACACATCTTCTTTATCCATTTATCAGTGGACATTTACATAGCTTCCGTATCTTGGCTACTAGAGATAATGTTGCAGTGAACGTGGAAGTGCATATATCTCTTCAAATTGGTGTTTTCATTTTCTTCAGATAGATATCCAGTAGTGGAATTGCTGGATCATATGGTATTTCTATTTTTAAGTTTTTGAGAAATCTCCACCCTGTTTTATATAGTGGCTACAACCAATTTACATTCCCACCGTCAGTGCACGAGGGTTCTCTTTTCTGCACATCCTCATGAACACTTGTTATTTCTTGTCTTTTTGATACTAGCCACTCTGACATGTGTGAGCTGATACCTCGTTGTGGTTTTGATTTTGCATTTCCCTGATGATCAGTGACGTTGAGCATCTTTTCATGTGTCTGTTGGCCATCTGAATGTCTTCTAGAAATGTCTATTCACGTCTTCTGCCCATCTTTTAATTGGGTTGTTTGTGTGTGGTTTTCTTTTTTTATATTGAGTTGTGTTTATATATTTTGGCTGTTAACCCCTTATTGGATACGTGATTTACAAATATTTTCTCCCATTCAGTAGGTTGCCCTTTCATCCCTTTCATCTTGTTGATGATTTCCTTTGCTGTGCTGAAGCCTTTCAGTTTGATGCAATTCCATTTGTTTATTTTAGGTATAATGGAACTTTGTACGAAGTGTTAGGAGAACACAGAGGAGGGTGTGTCTAAACGTGATGGTGTGATATAGAGGATTAGGAAAGGATTTACAGAAATTTATTTGAATAAAGATTCTAAGAACTGTGAGAATTTAGACAAATAAAGGATACATTTAGGTATCTTGGTTTTTAGCACGCATATGCAGTGCTCGTCCTTGTGTATCTCCTGTTTCCAGCTTTCTTTCTTGCCTGCAGCTGACTCTTTCCTCCTCTCCCTTTGCCCCAGGCCATGACGGTGGCATGATTGTGTTTAAACTGGAACGGGAACGGCCAGCCTATGCTGTTCATGGCAATATGCTCCATTATGTCAAGGACAGATTCTTACGTCAGTTGGATTTCAACAGCTCCAAAGATGTAGCTGTGATGCAGTTGCGGAGGTAAGTCAGACCTGTTCCCTCCCTCCAGACCCTCTCGTCTGTCGCCAGAGCTGATACCCACAAACCGGACTCTGTTCTTCCAACGACATTTTGGATCTCATCTCCTCTCACAGATTGAATCCCTATCGGGGAGGCTGCTCAGTTTAAACCCCAAGAGCATGGTGGGCAAGGAGGATGCCATGAGGAGAATGGGAGTTTCCCTAAGGAGAATGCTAGTGACCCTGTGCAGAGGAGACCATAACTGCCACAGTCCGCCGGGTCTCTTGCAAACCAGAGTCTCCTGGTAGAGAGCAGCCCAACTTGGTGACAGGCCTTTTTCCCTCTGTTTGGCATTTCTGTAACTCTTCTTTGCTTTCCAGCAAAATGCACACATCTCTAAACTAGAATATATGTCTCTGGAAGCTCTTAACTCTGAAGATACGATAACCTCTGGGATGTCTGGCAAAAAGAACTGTCCTCTTGGAAAGCCAGCTGCATCAGCATGCTGAAACATTCATGGTGGCAAACTTTGGCATGAGGGTTTGATAACCACCCTCCAGCATTACTACAATAAAAAGATGGGTTTATGTGAACACTCCAAGGGACAGGAGAAATTAGCCAGAGACAGAGCATGTCATGTTACTCTGGTGTCCCCTGCAATTATGTGTAGGAATTTGTACCCAAGAAGAACCAATCCCACTCACTACAGTGAGTGCTAACCCTACCTTCCGTTGAATAATTGGGCTTGTACTAGGGTTTGTCTTTTTAAAACCGTTTGTCAAAGCTGAATTAGGGATGTCCCCAAGCCTTAAAGGAAGGAAGAGAGTAGATGCAATATTTATTTTTATTCCTGATTATAAAAGTGATGAGTATATGTGTAAAGACTGGATAAGTAGGAGGTGTGGGAGTAATTCCGTTCTTCCATCCTTATTCCTCTTCCGTATTTTCTCTTTTTTTCCATGTATAACTCCAGTGGTTCCAAGTTTCCGGTGTTCAATATGTCATACAATCCAGCAGAAAATGCAGTCCTACTGTGTACGGTACGTAACCCATGGAATCCTCCTAGGATCTTCCCATTTCCCATAGGTCTCTTTCTCATGCCCTTAGAGAACCTCTAGCGGCTCCTTAGGAGCCATTTAATGGTCATTTTGAGACAGCTAACCCAGTAAACAGGCTCAAATCAGGTCCACTCCAGTGATGATAAACATGTTAGGGTTTGTGCACTTTTCTTGCATAAGGCTGACGATCTCTAAACTTAACGGAGCATCAAAATGAATGCCCCAAATCACTACACATATATATATCCTATGCAAAGAGGATGTTTATCTTGATTCCTCCATGTGGGTAAAATTGTAGAGCTGACTTGGAGGAGAGTTCCTGTCAGTGGAGTTGCCTTCAGGGTCAGCAAGTAGCTCCCACATTTCTTGCCATATAATTTGGGGGAAAAAGAAATGACATTCTAGTTTTAGTGCCCTGTTTGCCAATTAAAAAGAATGAAAACCTGTCTTTCCCCATATGACTTTGAGTGTCTAATCCAGTCCTTGTTCAGTATCTAAGAACATTTTTCTCCTGACAGTTGTCTTTGCTATCTTTCCTTTGATTTTTTTTTTTTTTCTCCCCTTTGAACAGACTTTAAAGGTGATGAGTTGTGTGCAGGTAGAGCAACCAGAATATTGGGGATTTGGTTTGTTAATTTTTGGAGCCAAGAGCAATCCTTTGCTTCCTTTCAAATATGATCTGCATCTTTGGAGGATACAAAAAATAAAGTGCTGTGAATTCTGAGCCCTTGGGCAATGAGCCTGAGAATTTTTAGCTGTAGAAACATTGGCTTGCCCTCTGGGTGAAGAGTGAGGAAGGGATGGGCGCCTGGGTGGCTCAGTTGGTTAAGTGACTGCCTTCGGCTCAGGTCATGATCCTGGAGTCCCTGGATCGAGTCCCGCATCGGGCTCCCTGCTCGGCGGGGAGTCTGCTTCTCCCTCTGACCGTCCCCCCTCTCATGTGCTCTCTCTCACTCTAATAAATAAATAAAATCTTTAAAAAAAAAAAAAAAAAAAAAGTGAGGAAGGGATACCTTCGAATTGTTGTATGATGGCACAGTTTTCTTTCGGAATAAACTGCCGCCTTAGGTTCCTCTCACGATTTGACCTCTCTCTGTCGTCCACAGAGAGCCAGCAATTTAGAGAACAGTACCTATGACCTGTACACCATCCCCAAGGATGCAGACTCCCAGAATCCTGACGGTAGGTGCTCCCTGTGTCTGCCGGGCTTTGCGCACAGCTCTTCTCTCCTGCGCAGTCGCGCCTCTTCAGGGTTTTCACGTTCTGTCCCCAGGCTGCGGCCACATCACTCATGTCTGTTGGCAGTGGCTGCTGACAGTTGCATCACAGGCGACCATGGTGTGAAATATTCATGTTCCTCCTTCATTTTATTACTCCAGCTAGATATATATATTTTATAATTTGGTTATTAGAAACTCTCCATTTTCTCTTTCAGCACAGCATGTTATCCTAGTTTATTGTCAGCTGATACGACTTTCACCCCGGTAGTTTCATTTATTTAAGAATGTGGTTCCAATCTTGTAGTGTCTCATCCTGGGACTAGGGATTTATGCTCTCCCATCCACTCCAGATCCGAATAGGCTTCCTTTTGCATGTCAAAGAGATGAGGCTGCTCGCAGCCCCACACCCCACCAGGGATCCCAGGATCCAGCTGAGACCCCCGTCTACCTCTTCCATCACCACCACCCCTTGTTGAGTCCTTCCTGTTAGAATTCGTGGACAGCCTTCTCAGAAGCTCCTTGCAGTCCACTTCCTCCCGTTGCTTTACAGAGTGTGTTCCTTGGGTCCCCACCTTACTAGCACGCTTTCAGGACACTTTAGACTCCATCAGCAGATTGTGAGAAGTCGTTTTGCTAGCCCTGGCCCTGTTGTGGGTGCTACTGTGTCGTTAGCGTTGCCGAAACGATTCACTCTTTAAAAAAAAAAAAAAAGCGTGGTCCTGGTGAGAAGAGAGGAAACCTGTATGTCTTTGGCATCCATAAATCAGTCTTCCCTATAAATTAAACAGTGAAGCCGTTTCTGACCAAATTTTATGATTGTGTCCCTCCCTACCCACCCCCTTACTCTTTTTCCCCCTCTGTTTTTCAGTTAATAACATTTAAAATACCTGCAGTTATGTGGAGGAATTTGTACCCAAGAAGAACCAATCCCACTCACTACAGTGAGTGCTAACCCTACCTTGAATAATTGGGCTTGTACTTAGTTTTGTTTTAGTACCACTTTTGTTTTCTCCATCTTTCGAGGGAGAGAATAATTAGTAAAGGAGTACAGTGCAGCCCGGTGACAGGCCACAGAGAGGAAGAGGAAGAGAAAGAGCAAAAGCTTGACGAGTGTGGCTCCCCAGCCCCCGCAGCGTGGGGGTGTCGGCTGTGATAAGAATTGCCTGTCAGGCACAGGTGCTGGAGAAGTGCAGAGCAAGGCTGGCCCGCACGTTCTGTCCACTTTGCTGCCGATGCTAATAGATAAAAGTACTTTGGGGCAGCCTTCTGTGTATGACCCTTGAGGTGTCCCCGAGAGTGGAGAGCCCATTCAGAATTCTAATCAGCCAGTGAAATGCTGGGGAACCGAGGAACATTTATAACTTTCTTCAGGGTAATAAGAATGATGGACATTTATGGAGCAACAGCTTGGTGCTAAACACTGCCCCGCACAGAGCTCATCTGCCTGTCAAGATTTAGTTGGGAGCGCTCTGCCCCACCCTGCTCTACCCCAAGGTCTGCATTTGCATGTTAAAAGCAGCAGAGCAGCTGCGTCCTGGGGAGGGGGCTCTCCCTCTACTCCAGCTTGTGGAGCTAGGAGGTCCTAGACGCTGACAGGCTGCATGCAGCGCTCGGCAGCTTGGCCAGCCAGGCCCTGCTCGTTAGCTTGATGGAGTGTGCTGTCTCCCAAGATGGGCGGTCCTTCTGCCAGTATATGGTGTTGGCTGAAATGCATCCACTTGGCCTAGAGAAAAGAGGCTTGGCAGGGGTGGAGGTTGGAGTTTGGAGGGGACTGGTGGGGAAAAGTCACTGACAATAGCCTCAGGTTACAGCTGAATTAGTTAGGAAGCAGCTGAACTGGCAAAGCCAACATGGCAGCCAGCAAGACTGGCAGCTCCATGGCACCTGACTCTGTCACCTGCCAGTGGCTCATCACACGCTCCCGCCCTTTGCTTTTGTTCTCAGCTCCTGAAGGGAAACGATCCTCGGGCCTGACAGCCGTTTGGGTTGCTAGAAATCGGTTTGCTGTCCTAGATCGGATGCATTCGGTGAGTTAAGCCTAAAAGGGGAAACTGATTTTGGCGTCGTGGTGGCAGTGGTCTAAGTATCGCACGAAGAAAGAGCAGGTTTTCTCTCTGCTCACTGCCTGGGGAGTTGTGATCATCATGCAGATAACCCCAGTCGCCCCATCAAGCAAAGAAACCTGAAAATTGACTCGATTGGGTTGATGATCACTGTGGGTCTGAGCTTGAGAACCAAGCTAACGTCACTCTTGACAACACAGAAGCCAGAAAACATCAAATCTGAAATAGGTGGGCTGGATGAGGAGTAAATCCTCCTCCTTATGCTAACTACCGCCACTGGTACTTAAAAATGTAAGCAGTCCTAAACAAGACAGACAAAGCTCTCTCAGGAAAATATGTAACAAAAATTTAAGCCCAGAAGTCTTGTCCTCTCTCTGGTTGAAGGAGGAATTCGGACTTCAGTTGGATTTCTCAGGATGTTTCAGTTGGGGGAAAAAGCAAAAGCTCTCAAGGCCCCTGGAGAGGGTTTGGGTTGGAGTGGGCTGCCTGGAGTGGTGACTGGCCTGGACAGGAACAACCCAAACTTGATTTCTTGAAGCTCAGGAACCCTTGCTGAGGCACGTCAACTGTCATCATCTGACGAACACACATTTCTGATAACCCCAGCTTTGGTCATTATTTCAGCTCCTGATCAAGAATCTGAAGAATGAGATCACCAAAAAGGTGCAAGTGCCCAACTGTGATGAGATCTTTTATGCTGGCACGGGCAGCCTCCTGCTTCGAGATGCAGAATCCATCACGCTCTTTGATGTTCAGCAGAAGCGGTAACATGTCAGGTGCCCCCAAGCAGACAGGCGTATAGTGGGTGAGGGTGGACCTCTGTAGTGGGAGCTTTTCTCCCAGTGAGTTTGCCTCAGGCTTGGCCACTTTTGTGCTATAACTCTAAGACTTGCTCACCACTTTTCCCTCTGGGGTCACTTTCTATCTTCTCCATACTAGCATCGCAAGGAGGGGCTTATTTATCAGTTTTTGGAGCACCTGAACGAAGAATGCTTTTGGGACTTAGAACTATGGGCACATGGGCGCCTGGGTGGCTCCAGATGGTTAAGCGTCTGCCTTCGGCTCAGGTCATGATCCCAGGGTCCTGGATCAAGTCCCGCATCGGGCTCCCTGCTAGGTGGGGAGCCTGCTTCTCCCTCTGCCTCTGCCTCTCTCTCTCTCTCTGACTCTCATGAATAAATAAATAAAACATTAAAAAAAAAAAAAGAACTATGGGCACGTAGGGATGAGTAGCATGGTTCTTGTACTTAGAGGAACTTACAGTCCACTGATGAGATCAGACATACACAGATTCCCTAATAATACGTGTGAATGAGGGGCAGGGAGTGAGGGAAGGGAAAGTGCACGGTGTGAGCCAAAATGTTTCCGTCACTCAGCTACCATACAGAGAGTGTTTATTTGGTATTATTTTAAGAAACTGGGGCTTACATTAATTTGGAGATGAAAAGCATGTAGGTCTTAACCTGGGATGAGGGAGTCAGGTCCACTTAGGTTCACCTTTCTCTGTCCCAGGACTCTGGCCTCTGTGAAGATTTCTAAGGTGAAATATGTTATCTGGTCAGCAGACATGTCCCACGTAGCACTACTGGCCAAACATGGTAAGTCTTCATTATATCCGCCCTGATTTAGAGACCGGCCCTTCCCTCCCCATCCCTGCCAGTCTGCTTCACTCATCCTGTCCAGCAGAGCACTCATGCCCTTTGCCTCTTACAGCCATTGTGATCTGTAACCGCAAACTGGAGGCTCTGTGTAACATTCATGAGAACATTCGCGTCAAGAGTGGGGCCTGGGATGAGAGTGGGGTATTTATCTATACCACAAGCAACCACATCAAATATGCCGTCACCACTGGGTAAGTGAATCATCTGATAACACAGAGTGGGAGAATGTAGCTCTTGAAATCACTGTCCTGTCTCAAGGGATGTAACTGAGTCCTCCTTGAACCTTCTTCGTGGGAAATCTTTGTCGGGCACATGTGTGCTATGCACAGCTGAACATTCTTTTTCAACTCTTTAGAAAATTGTGACATATGACCCAAATGCAGACAAATACACGGAGTCCATACAAAGAGAATAGCAGATTGTCACATAGTGGATGTCCGTGTCCCTGCCACCCAGGTCAGGAGCTACAGCAGAGCTGGCAGCCAGAAGCCCTCAGCCTTGAGCACAATCACCTCTACTTCCCACCCAAAGATCACATTATTCTGACTTCTATGGAAATTTCGTCCTAGCTATTCTTTGTAATTTTACTGCCCAATATGTGTCTTAAAATAGTATGCTTTAATTTTGCCTGGTTTTGAACTTCATGTAAATCATACTGAATATATTGTTTCATATTTTACTTATTTTGCTTATTTTGCTCAATATTTTGTTTGTAAGATGCATCAATGTTGTAGCTGTAATTTATTTTCGTTGTGTAATATTCTATTATATGAATATACCGCAGTTTTATCAGTTCTACTCTAGAGGGATGTTTGAGTGATTTCTAGGATTTGGCTACTGTGATGAACAATGTTCTTTTAAACGTTCTTTTACATGTGTTCTGGTGCAAATGCACATAATGTTTCTCTAGAGTGTCCACCCAGAGCCGAATTGCTGGATCATAGAGTACGCATATCTTTGCGTTTACTAGGTAACGTGAAACTGCTCTCCAGAGGGGCTGTACCGATTTTCACGTCCACCAGCATGGTAGAAAATCTTACTTGCTTACCATCCTTTCCAGCCCTTGTCTTTGCCAGACTTATTTTTGTCTATCTGGTGGGTGTGTAATGGCATCTCATTGTCATTTTACTTTTCTACGCTGATTCCTAATGAGATTGAGCAACTTTTCAGTTGACCATCAGGATTTCCTCTTTTGTGAATTCTGTTCAGACCTTTTATCTCTTTTAATGAGTTATCCTTTTTAATTTTAGGAGTTCTTCATATATTTGAGTGTGCATCCTTTGTCAGGGCTACGTGTTACAAATCTTAATGTTTCTTCCCATTCTCTAGCTTGTCTTCTGATTCTCTTTATGATGCCCTTTGACGAACAGATGTTCTTACTTTAATATAGTTGAATTTATGAATCTTACCTTTTATGGGTATTGGGTTTTGTATCTTCTTTTTTTTTTTTTTTTAAAGATTTTATTTATTTATTTGCGAGAGAGAATGAGAGACAGAGAGCACGAGAGGGAGGAGGGTCAGAGGGAGAAGC